ATCATGTGTCAGCTTTTCCAGGTGTTTCTCTGCAATCCTGCTGTCACCTGGGATTGCAACATCAACAATCCATACTCTCTTTTTTAAGACAATCGTGAGGTCAGGAGTCTTGTGCTCCAAAACTCTGTCTGTCTGAATTCGGAAGTCCCAGAGTAACTTGATGTGTTCATTTTCTCTAACTTTTTCCAGCTTGTGTACCCACCAGTTCTTTGTCGCAGGCAGATGGTGTTTGTGGCACAAGTTCCAATGAATTACCTGAGCAACGGTGTTGTGCCTCTGCTTGTAGTCTGTCCACGATCTTCTTGCAGCAGCTGAGGATGGGATCTCTTGTTTCATCTCCTTCCTTGCAGAGTCTACACTTGGGATCTATTGTGGACTTTTTTCAATTCTGGCTTGGAATGACATTGGTTCTAATGGCTTGTAAACTGCTTTGAGCACCCTCGGGGTGAGAAAAGCGGTATATAAATACTGTAAATAAATAAATTCTTGGGCTGCCAGAATCAGGCCCTCCTCCGTCTCCTTTTTCAGAGTTCCATTTGTGAGCCACAAACATGTTTTTTTCCTTTGTCAATTTGGCTGGAGACATTATTATTATTATTATTATTATTATTATTATTATTATTATTATTCCCAGCAAACCATTAGAAAAGCCTCATGCTCAGAAAACTACTACCTAGTTGCCTACATACCTATGATTTCATTCCTTTGCAAACAAATTCTCTCTGTTTATATTTTTCTCTTTGCTCTAGAACAGTGTTTCTCAACCTGGGGGTCGGGACCCCTGAGGGGGTCACGAAGGGGTGTCAGAGGGTCACCAAAGACCATCAGAAAACACAGTATTTTCTGATGGTCATGGGGATTCCATGTGGGAAGTTTGAGCCAATTCTATCGTTGGTGGAGTTCAGAATGTTCTTTGATTGTAATGAACTATAAATCCCAGCAACTACAACTCCCAAATGTTAAGATCTATTTTCCCCAGACTCCACTAGTGTTCAAATTTGGGCATATTGAGTATTTGTGCCAAGTTTGGTCCAGATCCACCGTTGCATGAGTCCACGGTGCTCTCTGGAAATAGGTGAACTACAACTCCCAAACTCAAGGTCAATGCCCATCAAACCCTTCCAGTGTTTTACGTTGGTCATGGGAGCCAAGTTTGGTTCAAATCCATCGCTGGTGGAGTTCAGAATGCTCTTTGATTATAAGTGAACTATAAATCCCAGCAACTACAACTCCCAAATTACAAAATCAATCCTCCCCCAACCCCACTAGCATTCACATTTGGGTGCATTGGGTATTTGTGCCCAGTTTGGTCCAGTGAATGAAAATACATGCTGCATATCAGATATTTACATTATGATTTCTAACAGTAGTAAAATGACTGCAGCATTATGAAGTAGCAATGAAAACAATGTTATGGTTGGGGGTCACCACAACATGAGGGACTGGATTAAGGGGTCACGGGATTAGGAAGGTTGAGAACCACTGCTCTAGAAAGAAAATAAATTCCTAAAAAATCGGGGGGAGATCCAAATGTTATGAAACTTGGCGGGCTAACAGTGCGGGGGGGGGGAGATCCAAATGTTATGAAACTTGGCGGGCTAACAGTGGTAGATGTGTCCTCCAAGTGTGGTCATTTTCATCCTGATAGTCCCCAAAATGACAGGAAGGGGAACCTGGGAACACCCCCCCCCCTATTGTTGAGCGACAGTTTTTGGCTGCAGATTTTTTGGCTGTCTGTTTTCAGGAAATGTGCATAAACAGATGTGGGGATCGCCCGAAATTTGGCCAGCACAAATGGAGCAAGGTTCAGTCGAAACGCACAAGCCTATCCGACAAGGTCACTGACCATTTCTTTGAGATGACCGAAAGTGACCCTGATGCCCATGAAGTGACCAGGAGGCCCTGGCCTTGGTGCCTGCATGGGTCACTTGACCCTCGGATGCCTGGACAAGGGCCAGCCCAATGATGCAGCAACCCCAAGCGATTAGAATAAGGTTTCAAAGAAGCGGAAAGGGAGCCCCTTAACCCAGTGGTTCTCAACCTTCCTAATGCCACGACCCCTTAATACGCTTCCTCATGTTGTGTTGACCCCCAACCATAAAATTAGTTCCATTGCTACTTCATAACTGTCATTTTTCTGCTGTTATGAATCATAATGTAAATATCTGAGATGCAGGATGTATTTTAGGTCACTAGACCCAATTTGGCACAAATACTCAATACACCCACATTTGAATACTGGTGGGATTGGGGTAGGGTATTGATTTTGTCCTGTGGGAGTTGTAGTTGCTGGGATTTATAGTTCACCTACAATCAAAGAGCATTCCAGAGAGTACTGTGGACTCAAACAATGATGGATCCGGACCACACTCTACACAAATACTCAATATGCCCAAATGTGAGCACTGGTGGAGTTTGGGGAAAATAGACTCTGACGTTTGGGAGTTGTAGTTACTGGGATTTATAGTTCACCTACAATCAAAGCGCATTCTGAACCCCACCAACGATGGAATTGAATCAAACTCGGCACACAGAACTCCCATGACCAACTGAAAATACTGGAAGGGTTTGGTGGGCATTGACCTTGAGTTTGGGAGTTGTAGTTCACCTACATCAAGAGAGCACTGTGGACTCAAACAAGGATGGATCTGGACCAAACTTGGCACGAATTCTTAATATTCCCAAATGTAACCACTGTTGGAGTTTGGAGAAAATAAACCTTGACATTTGGGAGTTGTAATTGCTGGGATTTATAGTTCACCTACAATCAAAGAGCATTCTGAACCCTACCAACGATTGAATTGGGCCAAACTTCCCATACAGAACCTCCATGACCAACAGAAAATACTGTGTTTTCTCGTGGTCTTTGGTGACCCCTCTGACACCCCCTCGCGACCTCTCCAGGGGTCCCGACCCCCAGGTTGAGAAACACTGCCTTAACCAATTGCACAAAATCAGGCAGGGGCAATTGTGGGAGTTGAAGTCCAAAACGCCTGGAGGGCCGAAGTTTGCCCATGCCTGGTGCTAGGCTTGCAGTCAGTCTCAATTACACTATGTAACATGATTTGGAAAGTAGTTGTTCTACTCTGGAAACTTTGTTTTTGTGTCACAAACTAGGTTGAATGGGTTAAGACATGATGCTTGAAACACTATCGCAAAATGCAAAGACCAAGTTTTGCAATTTAGTAAACTTTCCCCATGTTTTTATGATAGAACCAATTAGGAAATGACATTGATAACGCAGGAAGAGAAATCATGTTACATAGTGTAATTGAAACTGCAACCCAAACCCTGCCTGCAGCCCAAACCCCACTGTAATGCTTTTTCTGTCTGGAAACAATCAGGGCCAGCTAACACCTCCCACTAATAATAATAATAAAAATAATAATAAAAATAAAACTTTATTTATACCCCACCACCATCTCACCAAGGGACTCGGAGCGGCTTACATGAGGCCAAGCCCAACAACACACCAAAAACAACAAGCAATAATATAAACAACCAATAAACAAAAATAAACAATACAGTTACAATAACTCATAGGTAGACAATAACACACAAGAATTTAAAAACCTATGGCTGGGCCCGATGTAGTAGTTAAAACTTTAAAAATAAATAAGGATTCCCCAGGCAGGAAGCAGCCAGGCTTTGAAGCTGCAAGGCCATTAATTAGCAATCAAGGTGATTCAGTTCATGAAAGCCTTTGACGACAAACCCAAAAGTGATGCAACCGAAGAGTGGTTTGCTCTTGGCTTTGCAGTAGACATGTAACACTATCTTTTCTCTCCAAATGCACATCATTGCATGTATTAACATCATTATTATTTTGGGGAGTTGTATGTGTTTCCGGGCCGCCTGGCCATACTCCAGCAGCATTCTCTCCTGACGTTTCACCTGTATTTGTGGCTAATGGCATCTTTGAAGGTTCTGATGGGAGTGAGGCAAGTGGAGTGCATGGAATGTGTACAGAGGAGGGCGATTTAAATGATCAAAGGTCTGGAGAACAAGCCCTATGAGGAGCGGCTTAAAGAGCCGGGCATGTTTAGCCTGAAGAAGAGAAGACTGAGAGGACATACGATAGCCATGTATAAATATGTGAGGGGAAGTCATAGGGAGGAGGGAGCAAGCTTGTTTTCTACTGCCCTGGAGACTAGGAAAGAACCTTTGTGTGTGTGAAGGAAGTGTGCATGTTGCAATGAGAAAGCTTGAATAGCATGGACCAGCCTTGCAACTGCAAAGTCAATCAGTGAGGGTATTTACATAGGGGTAACCTGGCCTCTGTTGCCTGGAGGCACGCTCTGTGGAATGATGTACACAGTGGCAGAAAGAACCCTTGTCTGTGTAAAGCAAGTGTGAATAGCATTGACCAGCCTTGCAGCTGCAAAGTCAATCAGTGAGGGTATTTGCATAGGGGTAGCCTGGCCTCTGTTGCCTGGACGCACGCTCTGTGGAATGATGTACATGGTGTGAGAAAGAACCCTTGTCTTTGTAAAGCAAGTGTGAATAGCATTGACCAACCTTGCAGCTGCAAAGTCAATCAGTGAGGGTATTTGCATAGGGGGTAGCCTGGCCTCTGTTGCCTGGAGGCACCCTCTGTAGAATGATGTACACGGTGGGAGAAAGAACCCTTGTCTGTGTAAAGCAAGTGTGAATAGCATGGACCAGCCTTGCAGCTGCAAAGTCAATCAGTGAGGGCAATGGCTTCAAACTACAAGAAAGGAGATTCCATCTGAATATTAGGAAGAACTTCCTGACTTTGAGAGCTGTTCAGAGTGGAACTCTCTACCCTGGAGTGTGGTGGAGGCTCCTTCCTTGGAAGCTTTGAAACAGAGGCTGGATGGCCATCTGTCAGGGGTGATTTGAATGCGATTTTCCTGCTTCTTGGCAGAATGGGGTTGGACTGGATGGCCCAGGAGGTCTCTAGGATTCTCTGATGTTGTGATTCTGTATACCTGTGGACTGACCCTCTTGTTGTCTCCTTTGCCGGTGTGTTTGTGCAGTGGCGGACCTGGTGTACTGGCGGGACACGCGTGCCTCGGCCTGCGTCTTCACGGTGCTGATGGTGGCCCTGCTCTGCCTGCTGCACTTCAGCATCATCAGCGTGGCGTCCTACGTCTCCCTGGCCACCCTGGCCGTCACCATCTCCCTCAGGGTCTACAGCAAGGCGCTCCAGGCTCTCCACCGGGGAGAGGGAAAGAACCCCTTCCAGTGAGTACACCGAGTTGCAATCACCATGCAATGGCCAGGCAATCTGAAGGAGGAACTCTTCTTTGAGTCCCGTTGCATTTACGGCTGCCGTGGGGCTGCGCCTTGGCTCTGCAATTCCTAGAATGGCATGCATCTCCTCCTCCTTGGTGTCTTTGCATTGGAACACGTGGCCACCATCTTCATATAAAATCCAGATTAACTACTAAGAACTGGATTATATGGCAGTGTAGACTCATATACACATCATATACACACACACACACATCACACATACATACATATGGATGTTGGTTGACTGGTTGCACACACACACACACACACATATATAACCCATAAATACACACACACAAAACCCTAGCGGAACAGACTTAAAACCCCCAAAAATACACCACATATACATACACACATATACTCATATACATATGCACATGCACACATTTATACACACATATATATATGCACAAATACACACATATACACACATAAAAAGGTAAAGGTAGTCCCCTGACATTAAGTCCAGTCATGTCTGACTCTGGGGTGTGGTGCTCATCTCCATTTCTAAGCCAAAGAGCCAGCGTTGTCCGTAGACACCTCCAAGGTCATGTGGCCGGCATGACTGCATGGAGCGCTATTATATACACACATACACATATACATATACACATGCACACACATATCCACACACATACGTATAAACACACAAATATGCATATAGAAAAGCACACACATATCCACAATATATACACAATATACAAGTACACATATAAACACACAAATACACA